AATGACGTTTAAAAAAAAGTTATTTTTGCGTACGAATGTCTTCCTGTTCGAATTTTGATTTTAATTTTTGACAATGGTGCAGAGTACGCGTACACGCTACAGGTGGACGAGAAGAGCGACATATACAGCTTCGGGGTGGTGTTGATGGAGCTGCTGAGCGGGAAGAGGTCGGTGGACTCGGAGTTCGGGGAAGGGAACAGCATAGTGGACTGGGTGAGGTCGAAGATAAAGGGGAAAGAAGGGTTGAACGACGTGCTGGACAAGGACGCCGGCGGGTCGATCCCGTCGGTGAGGGAGGAGATGATGCAGATGCTCAGGATCGCGTTGCTGTGCACCAGCAGGAACCCGGCGGACCGGCCGTCGATGAGGGACGTGGTGTTGATGCTGCAGGAGGCCAAGCCGAAGAGGAAGTCGCCCGGCGGTGGCGGGGCGGGGAGTGTGGTAGTTAGTAGCGACGCCTGCGCGGCCGCCGGCGGTGATTGTGGAGGTGGGTGTGATATTAGTAGGATTACTACTAGTAGCTGCAGTGATGATGGCGTAATAGTACAGAAGGCTTAGAGGCAATTTCTTGTTAATAGCTGCAGTAATTTTTTCTTCACTGCTTTTTTTTAATCCTTTTTTATGGTTTGAGGTTTTTTTTTTTAATATTCTTACTTTCGAGTGTGAGAAATGGGCGATTGGTATAGGAGAGGTGATTTTTTTTAATGGAATTTCCTTTGCTTGAGTTTCCAAATGGAATTTGCAAGAGTTTATTGCCTGTTGATTCAATTGGATGTTACAATATGGGGAGGGGAGTTAATGGTAGGGTTTGTCATCATGAGGAATGTTAATCATAGATTTGGAGTGGTAATGATTCTTATTTCTTAGTGTGGATAGGTGTGTGGTGGTTATGGGGTGGAATGTGGACCTTAGAGATCTTCCAATGGGATTCAAAGATCCTGTTGAAAGATAAAATAATAGAACCAAAACCCTAAGTCAAATGTACCATTATGAAAGGAAATGCCACTAAATATCTTACTAATGGATTGAAAATGCAATTAAACAAAAAAAAAAGTATGTTATTTATTACTAAAAAAGATAAGTGAGACGACTTCACAATTCACATGGCACAAAACATTAATAGATTGTCCTCTATTATGTGTGAAAGAGATGATTGAAATCGGTCGATGAGTGAACCCCTTCATTGTTTATTGTCTCACTGAGTAACGCTATATTCATATGGGAGCATTGCAAATAATCCAACTCCTAAATAAGAACGAATAAGATCTAGTATTTCATAATTAGAGGATACAGACACCTTAGAAAAAGTAAAGTCCTCAAACTACAAAGATAAACGATTCAGAAGGTCACAAGAAAACAAGATGAGAATGTCACGAGAAAACCATATCAATTAGTAACAATCACACCCCAAACACTATTAACCATAAACTCTTCCTATTGAGCACGTAGATGTGACAAATGGATTGATAAATTAGATTGGTATGTTCATGGATCAAATGGATTGGTGGATTGATCCATGGATCAAAATTTAAAAAGTCTTGGACCAATATGTAAAATTTTAAAAGGTTAGGTACTAAAATATCAAAATAAAAATTTTAGGTATCAAAATGTAATTTTCAAATGACATTTTTTTCTTAAAAAAACAAATTTTAGGTAGAAAATTGTCAAATATAAAAAAATATATAGTTACTAAATGATAACTTGCCAAGAATTCATGGATCCACCAATCCAATTGGATTTGAATCAAATGAATTGGATTAGTTGAATTTTTAAATGGTTGGATTGTATTGGTGAATTAGATCATAAATTGTGTACAGCAAGTGATGCCTTAGTGGGGATCATGAACTAGATCGAAAAATCCTCCAGTACAAACGAATTAGTCAGGCACTCAGGCTAGTAAACCCGGGTTTGACATTAATGTCCACCAAATCACGAAAAATATAACATACATTCTTAATCAAGGCAAATTAATCTTTTAAATCTGTAGTATTTTGCTATCACAGGATGATAAAACAGATTAGTTTCAAGTATGAACTATGTTACAATTAATAATTGTAAACCATGAAAGGTTCCGGGCTTGTTGAACAGAGCACCCATTTGGAAAAAGAGCTACAACAAGTCAACAACCACTTTAAGCAAGGCCAAATTTAGTGAAGTTCAAGAAGATGAATGATGAACCAACGGTTCGACATTTACTTGTAGTTTACAAGCGAGAGAAAGACGTTGGAGTCGATAAACCTTTAGTTTTATTATTCGGCGGGACGCAAGGGATAGTTGGATTGGGTCTGTTCTTGAGGAACTGATCATTCGGGTGTTCAGGCTTCATACTACGCTTAATGTTCCGCTTTGTAGGTCGGAGTAACAATAGAGTATTCCATTTGGTGGCTAGAAAGGCCCTCGCTTTGTACCCGACTATATGTCGATTTTTTGATTTCCAGGTCTGACTGATTTTCTGGATGTAATTATCTTTTTTTCAAGCAATATATCTGATTGTATTTTGTAAAAAAAAAACCAAACCACCGTTAAACTTACATATTTATAGAATAGAAAACCCAATACTCAAACCTAATACTACCTGAAAACCTAGTCCTACTCCGCTACCCCTTCCCTGCGGCATACAAACTCAAACCCAAAAGGAAACCGACACACGACCCACTACCCCTAAGCCCAACCCGAAAATCCACTCATCAATGAAATAGTTAAGCTATCGAGCATGGGAAAGAATGGGGTTATCATTGAAAGATATCAGACAGAAAGCTAATCGGTATGGCCAGCAAAGGAATCCCCTGCTCCTTTATTAGTTTCTTCTTCCCGAGTACCGTCCTGTAAAACAGAGTACAGTCGGCGACTGTTGAAGAATAAGCAATTTGCCCCTTTGGGGCCAACTCCGTTCAGTCTCTTTCGCACATGCATGGCAGTAGCTGCTGGCCTTAAACTTTGTGACCCACAAAATAGGGGCGACAGGCGACTGTTTGGGTTCGGCTTTCGAGCTTAGCAGAGTAGCGACTCCGGCCTCTTCCTTACGTCCCATTCCACTTGGTCGTGTGTGTCTCCGTTTTTCTGCAAACAAAATGTGCAGAGCTTGGCTGTTTGTGATGACGTTTTCTGGGTTTGATGGACGATCGACCTCACATTTGACTTCGTCGAAGTGGGATTTTTTTTTTAGAAGGACGATCGATTATGAGAAGAAGAACAGTCTTTGAATTGGGACACATTTAATTTCGGTCTCCTATTGTACTCTGTTTTGGTGACCCCTCAGACGCTTTGGCGTTGGGCCTTGGCCTTTAATGTTCACCATCACAAGGGTCAAGGGGTACAGCTCTGTATTCTATCTAGTGATGGCGGTTGGATAACCGGGAAAAAAAAACCATTAAAAACTAACGACGGGATTAGTCAATTGCCTACAAATGGAAATCAAAATCGTTAACGGCTTATTGATAAGCACTTAACCTTTTTGATTTTGGTTAAATTAAATCAAAATCAAATGCTTACATGCGTTAAGGTTTATCGGTTTATTAATGATTTTCATTTTCAAAATAAACCATCTTAGTGGGGTTTATCAGTTTTTACTTGTTTAGTGATACTGTTAAACCTTGGCTCCGGATAGCATAACAACACCTAAGGTGTTGTTATTATAACAACAGGGGTATAAGGGTAACTGCACAATAATAACTGCACAATAATTAAATAATTGTTTTCTTTTACCTGGCATTAATTTTGAAATTCAAAAATAATAATAAAATTCATTGAAGCGCGCGTTGAGACATTTCAGTTTTCCGCTTTCCCCTTTCCCCTTTCCCCTCTGCTCACGAACTGCTCACGAACTGCTCTCCGACGGGACGTCTGCTTCGGTCTCCCTGTTCTCGCCACCAAATTTGCATCTGCATCGAGCGATTTCGTCTGCGGCTTGTGGATTTCCTTCGCGCGATTCTGTTTCCTTCGTCGCCGAAGTGAATTTCGAGGTATGCCGGTGATTTCCTCCGATAAACTGGAACTGTCTTCTCCTCCGTCGTCAGTTTTGGTCTGCGAAGTCGCCGTTGTCGTTTAGCGTCGCCGGAGTTCCACTTGTATGGTGTTAGTTTGGCGTCGCCGTTTTCGTTTTCGTTAGCATTGTCATTGCTTGCTTCTGCTATTGAATTTACCACCTTCGTTTTCATGTTTGCCCTCTGTTACTTTCGTTTTCCAGTTTTCTGCGATGTTTTGACGCATGCAGTCTAAATTTGTTGAAGGAGACGAGGAAATTTCATAGTTGTGCGTTCTGGTTAGGTTTTGTTGGATGTTTCTTCATTTTTGTGGTGTGCTTTGATTATTTTAGGGTTTCTGGTTTCTCATGAGTCGTTTGTGGTGTTGTTTAGTAGTTCTGTTGTTTTTTTTCTATATTTTGGTGGTGCGCTTTGTGTTTGGTGACAGTTAGTGTGTTTGTGGGTTGGATTGGGGCCTTTCTGGAGGGTTTTAATAAAACTATTGTGTATTTTAGGGTTTCTGGTTTCTCATGAGTCGTTTGTGGTGTGCTTTGTGTTTGGTGACAGTTAGGGTGTTTTGTGGGTTGGATTGGTGCCTTTCTGGAGGGTTTTAATAAAACTATTGTGTACTTTCAGGCTACTGTTGGTGGTTCTTTTAAAAGGTTTTGTGGTTTGTGTTTCGGATTTCACAGTTTGGTTTAGAAGATTTACTGGTGTGCATTTGCAGTTGTTGTTTGTCTCCTTTACATCTGATTATTGAGTCGTTTGTGGTGGTGTTCAGTAGTTCTGTTGTTTTGTTCTTTTTTTTTTTTGGTGGTGCGCTTTGTGTTTGGTGACATTTAGGGTGTTTGTGGGTTGGATTGGGGCCTTTCTGGTGTTTTTCCAGGGTGATGTTGGTGGTTCATTTGGAGTTGTTGTTTGTCTGCTTTAAATTTGATTATTGGATTGTTTTCATGGGTTTACAGTTTGCATTAGGCCCTTAATGGTTTGGATTTTATATGTTCTGGTATGAGATTGCTTATGTTGGTTTGTGTTTTGGTTGCTTTGTAGGCATGGCACCTGCTAAGAAACGTGCAGTAAAGGGGAAAGAAAAGGAAAAAGTTCCAACACCTAAGCAAGAGAAAGATGGTGCAGTAAAGGGGAAAGAAAAAGAAAAAGTTGCAACACCTAAGCGAGAGAAAGATGGTGCTTCTCCTGTGCCTGGAAAGCCGGATAAGAGGCATCGTAGTAATACTAATCGTATTCTTGGCATCATGGAAGCTGACAGTACAAGTGAAGAAAAACTGCAGATGCTTGATCCTCTGGGTTTTAGGGGTGTGTCGAGGGTTAAGCTTACGAGACTCCCGGATAATTTTATTGAATGGCTTTGCAAAAGCTTTGATGTGAGTTCAAGGTCTTTCCCGCTGCTACGGTCAGGGAAGTTTAGAATTGGAGAGGCAGATGTGGAGAGAGTCTATGGTTTGCCGCGTGGACCGTATGTTGTTAAGCTGGATATGTTCAGTGCAGCCCAGAGGCACAGGTGGGGAATTGAGTTAGGGCTTTCCAATACTAAGAAAGGAAAGGCGTCATTGGCAAATGTTAAACTGGCATTGGAAGAGGAGAGGGACAATAAGAAGTGGAGGGATCTTTTTGTACTGTGTGCAATGGAGGCAGTTCTGTGTCCCAGTGGAAATTTGAAGATTAACCTCTCCTATGCTGGTTTTTTGCAAGATGAAATGGTTGCTGACTTCACCCAATATAATTGGTGTAAGCATGTGGCTGACCATTTTAATGACAGTATGGTTGAAGTGGTTCAATCAAAGTCAAAGTTCCCTGGTGACGTTCATCTTCTTTTTGTAAGTGAATAAATATACCCCTTTTCGAATTTTGGTTTACTGTTTCATTTATGGTTTGTTTATTGACGAATGTGGTGTGGTTGAAGATGTTTATGGTTTGTTTAAGAGTTTTAATGGTTTGCTTTTGCCCCCCCCCCTGTGTTATAATGTTTCTGGTATTGTTTTTCATTTATGGTTTGTTTATTGACTAATGTGGTGTGGTTGAAGATGTTTATGGTTTGTTTAAGAATATTTATGGTTTGCTTTACCCCCCTTTGTTATAATGTTTCTGCTATTGTTTATCATTTATGGTTTGTTTATTGACGAATCTGGTGTGGTTGAAGATGTTTATGGTTTGTTTAAGAATATTTATGGTTTGCTTTTGCCCCTCCCCCCCTGGTTGTGTGGTGTGTATTATAATCTTTCTGGCACAGTTTGTTTGTGGTTGCTTGACTTCTGTCTGTTTGTATATGTGGCAGATTTCGATTCTTGACCGTGTGAAGAACCCCCCTGAGCTGCCCATACCGACCTGTAAGCATAGGTCGTACAAAGTCGCAAGTGCTGCTTTTCAAGTACTGATGGACGAAGGTCATCTCAATATTGGTCATCGAGATGTAGTGATGGAAGAAGAAGCAACCTCCAGTCAACCAATGGGACGAGAACGTGTGCTGGGTTCAAAGAGGAAAAGGCCGGTAGATGATCTTGATATGGTGAGGGAAGGGGATCTTCCGAAGCTTCCCCATCTTGACCTCAACTTGGATGGTGTTCATTCGGTTGAAGAAGTGAGTGATTTTTTCTGTGTTATTCGTTTTATGTCTTTCTTTAGAGTACTTTCAGTGTGCTTTACAAGTATAGTGGTTTGCATTAGTTTGTTTACGGAATACTTTATTTTATTCATGTGCTGGTTAGTTGTGTTTTCTGTTGTTTGTTCTTTGGCTTGCTTTAGTGTACTTGTGGTTTCTATTAAAAGAATAGTGGTTTGCATTACTTCGTTAAAGGAATATTTTATGGTACTCATCGTTTGGTAGGTGTTTTTCTGTGAGAACTCAAACATATGTGGTTCGTATAAGTGTGTTTTAGGTGTTCATTAAAAGGAATGTGAGATTCTTTAGAAGGTTTATGGTTTGCTTTTGGGCTGTTCAGTAACTTTGGGCTGTTTTCGTGTTTTTGTAGGCATATCAGTTGAAGAATGACATGGAAAGTTATAAGAGGGCTTTGTTGAGGATGGCTGCTCATTACAGTTCGAGCATTGAACAAGTTGATGATCATATAAAGATGCTGGAGGGGCAGCAACCAGAGGATAGTCCTGAAGATAATGTCGATTTCACTGATAGAGTTGATGATGTTTCTGTTCCTAAGGGAACCAATGATGTCGGTCGCAATGCATCTGCTGCCAATGCTGATGATGAGACTGGTGCTAACAGTCCAAAGTCCCCGGGTCTTGATGATTTGTCAATGGAGATGGATAAGGATGGTGCTGGTAGTGTTGATGTTGTGGTGCCAGATGTTGGTCACAATGATCCTGCTGGCACTGCTAATGATGATACCTCTCCTAAGGGAGTGTTAGATTCGGAGGGACTTGATGATCATCTTGATAATCTGACAATGGAGATGACACAAAAAAGTGTTGATTCTGAGAATGCTAAGAAGGTGATGGAGATGGACAGCTGTGAGGAAAAGGGACAAGGTGATGATGGAGATGACAATGTTGATGCTGCTAAGTTGGATAACTTGGTTGAGAAGGTCGTAAAGGTATTTTTACTGTTTTGTGTTTGAATATTTGTGGTGTGGATTATACTGTTTTTGGTTTGTTTGTCATGTCTTTTGTAGTTGGTTGTTTTGCATTTGTTAGTGGTGTGGTTTACATATATCTGGTTTTGTTAAACACTTTTGTGGTTTGGTTTCTGTAGTCTGCTATGGGGGATGTTTGTGAAGATGTGGTGGTTGATGAGAAAAGGAAAGAAGCTGATTCTGAGAATGCTAAGAAGGTGATGGAGATGGACAGCTGTGAGGAAAAGGGACAAGGTGATGATGGAGATGACAATGTTGATGGTGTTGATGCTGCTAAGTTGGATAACTTGGTTGAGAAGGTCGTAAAGGTATTCTTACTGTTTTGTGTTTGAATATTTGTGGTGTGGATTATACTGTTTTTGGTTTGTTTGTCATGTCTTTTGTAGTAGTTTGTTTTGCATTTGTTAGTGGTGTGGTTTACATATATCTGGTTTTGTTAAACACTTTTGTGGTTTGGTTTCTGTAGTCTGCTATGGGGGATGTTTGTGAAGATGTGGTGGTTGATGAGAAAAGGAAAGAAGCTGATGCCGGTGAGGTGCTTGAGGGTGGTGATGGTCGTGGAGATTTAACATTGAGTCAGCTAGTTAGGGAGGGAAAGGTAATTTGTTATACAAAGGTAATTTGTTGTACTATGTTTCAGTTTTGGTTTGTGTTAGTTGTTTTTAGTGTTGTTTTATCTAATTTGTGGGTTGCTTTAAAAATCAGAAAAAATTTAAAGTGAAGAATGCAGGAAGCTCATCCGGTGTTGATATTGATGTGTTGAAGGGTGCTGTGTTGCGATATGCAAGGGATTCGAATAACTTGTAAGTTAATGTGTATAGATTTCATACATATGCGGTTGTTTGTATATATTTTTTTATATAGTGCTTATTAGTACTTTTCTAATGCCGACTGTTTTGTTTGTTATGGATTATGAAAAATAGGAAGGAAATCCTTTTCAGTCGCGTTGATGGATTCGATTGCTTGTATAGAAAGGACACAGAGACTTTGGCACATGGGAAATGTGTGAGTGTGGATGTTATTGACTGCTATGCTGCCTATCTGAATCGGGAGCAAGTGAGAAGAGGGCAACTGAAAAGATGGGTGTTCTATTCAGGGCTGGCGGTGAGTTACATTTTCTGCTAGTTCTGTTTTGTTTTAGGGTTTTTGTGGTGTGCATTATAATAGGTCTGGTTTGGTTTAAGGGTTTTGTGTTGTGCATTATAAGACGTCTGGTTTGCTTTAGGGTTTTTGTGGTGTGCATTATAATACTTCTGGTTTGTTTTAGGGTTTTTGTGGTGTGCATTATAATACGTCTGGTTTGTTTTACTGTGTTTATGTTGTGTTCTACCTTGTAGCAAAGAGTGCAGGGGATAGTGAAGAACGAAGGACCACTGCCTAATTTTTTTGAAGAGACTGATGAAATTATTACAAGTTGCAAGTGGATACCAGATGGTTTGGATTTCTCACAATGTGATTATGTATGTATTTTTTTAGTCAGATTTGCTAGATTGTTTCATGTGTGTTTTTTCTTCATTGTGCTTTTGGAGTACTGACTTGTTTTTGTTCTGCATGCAGTGGATGTTCCCCCACTGTTCTGATGACCACTACAGGATGTATGTAGTGAATCTGAAGAACAAACGGTATGATTATCTTGACAGCCTTTACCCTGACGACCTTGATTCCAAGTTTCGTGCTGTTGCGGATATGGTGGTCCGCTATGCCACAGAATACATTCCTGCCTGCAGAAAAGAGCCCTTCAAATTTGAAGAATTCAAGTGGGTTAGACAGCGAGGGGTGAGACAACGTGGTGGGATTGACTGTGGTGTTTTTACTATGAATTTTGCTGAGTTTTGGGATGGCAAACTGCATCCAGCTATGAGGAATTGGCAAAGACAAATCAATCAGAGGCGGGATGAGATCACATTAACATTGCTGCTGAACAAGGAGAACAGTGTACTTGAAGAGGTGAAGAAGAAGAGTTTGGAGTTTGATCGCAAGGTGGACTAGCTGATTTTAGCATGCATTTGCAAGAACAGTTTCAGATTTCAGTGTGTTAATATGTGTTTTAGTGTGTTAATGGTGTTGATTAAGAGGATTTGTGTTCGTCGTGTATGGTGTGTATTATAAGACAAGTGGTTTGTGTTAATACATAAGTGGTTTGCTTAATGAGTGTTCTGGAAAGTTTCCATATGTTTGTGGTTTGGTTTTGTTAAGAGGTTTCGAAGTTTGTTTTCTTTCCTGTATGGTGTGGTTTGTAGTGTTTATGGTTTGGATTAGGTGGTCTGTGGTGTGGATTGTAGCGTTTTTGGGTTGGTTTAGGTGGTATCTGGGTTGTTTAACCTTGTTCGGTGTGCATTGTGGTGTTTATGGTTTGGATTAGGTGGTCTGTGGTGTGGATTGTGGGGTTTTTGGGTTGGTTTAGGTGGTATCTGTGGTTTGTTTAACCTTGTTCGGTGTGTATGGTGGTGTTTATGGTTTGGATTAGGTGGTCTGTGGTGTGGATTGTGGGGTTTTTGGGTTGGTTTAGGTGGTATCTGGGTTGTATTCAACTGTATCTGTGTTGATCAAATATTATCAAAAACCTGCAACTGTTCATATTTGTCTCATAGTTGTCATTGAAATCTAAAAGTTTATGACAGAAAAAAAACACGGATAACAACAAGGAAACTAATCACTCATTGTTGCTTGTTGGCGGCCTGTTCATCAATTCTTTGCTTTCTAGCCCTCTCCAGTGCTACCTCAAGTCCACCTCTTGGCCTCTTCTTTGATTTCCATGGGTCTTTTCGAGCCTTGAATCCCTTCACATTGGCATACTTGTCATTTGTAGCTGAAGCAGCAGCGCTTTGTGAGGGTGATGTATTGGTGGTTCCATCTGTTGAAAAAGCAATATGCAAGATACTGGTGAACATAAGTAGGGATTAAGCAATTAGTGGATTGGATTAAGATGTTTATGGTTTGCATTAGATCATTTGTGGCTTGGATTAAGCAATTACTGGTGAATATAAGTAGGGATGCTAACAAGATGTGTGAAATTACCAGGTACTGTTTGCTGAGTTTCTTGAGTCTGAAGGCTTTGGAAAGCTAGTTTAGTGAGCTCTGCAATCTTCTCCTTAACCATTGAGAAGACCTTGTCATTCATTGAGACTTTTGTTGCTAGGATAACCATGCTAGCACACAGTTCTTGATACCTCCCTGCATAAGTATCTGTTGCAGCACATTCTGTTGTGTTTATTGTGAACTTCTCTCCAGATTTGGCATCTCTCGTCCATCGTGGCAGAATGTATTCCTTAGGGATAGTCAATTGCTCAATATCATCACCATTGAATCCAACCATCTCTATCTGCCTGATTACATGTCTGCACAACCAGCCTGAACTTTCAAACAAACGACATGAGCACTTGTATTTCTTCTCCTCTTTGTTCACTAACACGACTCTTTTGCCGAATCCTCCTAGTTTCTTCACTTCATAAGCTGTCATTCCATCTCTATCCATAGATTCATTCCGGAACACAAAAAAAGCAAGGCTTTCTGAATACTCCTCAAGGAAAGAACTGTAGATCTTAGTTGTGTATAATTTTGCGACTTGCTGAACAAGTGGGCTTCTGTCATACCTGTTGGAAGATGACATACAACATACAATCATTCATAAAACATCTTGTCTACATTAATGATTTTATGGTATGTATTGTACTGTTTGTGGTGTGGATTGTGGTGTTTATGGGTTGTATTAGGTGGTCTGTGGTGTGGATTGTAGGGGTTTTGGGTTGGTTTAGGTGGTATCTGGGTTGTTTAAGCTTTTGCGGTGTGCATTGTGGTGTTTATGGTTTGGATTAGGTTGTCTGTGGTGTGGATTGTAGGGGTTTTGGGTTGGTTTAGGTGGTATCTGGGTTGTATTCAACTGTTCTGTGGATGCATTCTACAGTATAAAAAGTTCAAATAAAGGAAGTAATACGTACATGTTGTTTGGGACTGTGTTTGCCATTTGATAATCCATGTCCATTTCGTCTGATCTTTTCCGTTCGAGCAACTTGTTGAAGTATGTGAAGAACTCAACTAGGTTGTCATCTGGTTGAAGGTAGTTTCGGAGGTTGCTGTTACAAGACTCACTCAGCTGTGAGCTTCGCATACCAGCTGTGAAGTGGTCCTTAATCCATGCTGAAGACCACTGTTTTCTCACCTTGTAAATTGAATCCAACCAGTTCCTTGGATTGGTGCCTTCTTCTGGATAATATGTGTCTAGCAACCTTGACCAATTGTACTCAAATTCTTCCTCATTTTCTACTCCAAAAGTGACATATTGTAGATCTTCTAGAATGTTTGTGTTTGTGGTGTCGAGATGCTTCATTGCATTCTGCTTGATATGAAAAGTACACAAGCCATGGAATGCTTCAGGAATGACGGATCTAATCCCAGCGGCGATTGCAGCAGCTTGGTCGGTGAATATTGATGTTGGTCGGCTGCCTGACATACATTTCAAGAATGCATCGAACAACCACTTGAATGTAGCGGTTGTTTCATCATATAGGAGAGCAGCCCCGAAGATGCAAAGTGCACGATGGTGGTTGAAGCCAACAAACAAAGCTGTAAATTAAAAATAAAAAAAAGAACAACATAGAATTAAACATTGAAACAAACAAAGGCTGTCTTTTTTGATATATATGGTGTGCTTCAGGACGTTTTTAGTATGGTTTAGGAGGTTTGTGGTATGCATTGCGTAATGTTTGGTTTGCATTCAATTTCGAAATATCAAGAAAATTATCTAGTGCAAGGAATCCTTCTTAATGCAAACCACAAACCTTTTAATGCACACCACAAATCTTATAAAACAGACCACAAACCTCACAAAGCAAACCACAACATTTGCGGAAGCAGACCAGAAATCTATTAATGCAAACCACAAACCTCACAAAAGAAACCACAAACCTCACAAAGAAAACCACAAACCTCACAAAGCAAACCAGTGCAAGGAATACTGACCTAGTGGACGATAATTCTGGTTTGTCCTGTATGTGGTGTCGAAGCTGATCGTATCTCCGAAGCAACTGTAGTCAAACCGCATTCTTGCATCAGCCCAGAATATACTTGCAATATCTTCGTTACTATCTACCTCAATTTCATAGAAGAATGATGGATTCTTGTAAGCTTCACGGCGAAAATGTGTAAGAAGTATAGTTGCTTCGCCTGGTTTCATTGATTTCTGCCTTGTCCCTGTGATATAGTTCTTCAGATCATGAGGGGT